TGGTGGGAGGGAAGGCATAACAATGAAAGAGTTTTTCTTTTTCTTTTCAAGGGGAAGAGTGAATTGGGGCTTGGCGGTAGGCAGGGAGAAAAGTGCAACAATGAATGACTGGAAACCCTAAGTCTCTGTAAACTTTCATTACAATTAATTTAAAAAAAAAACACACCACAAAAATCCCAACCATACTATACATTTTAAAATGCTTATTTGTTTGGTTCTGGTATGATGGAATTAAGAACATGAGTCCTTCTGAGGCTTTACTGAAAGGCTTGTGTTAACATTAGAAAGTCATTGAGCTCCTCTAGCTCAAAAGATTTTATACAAGCAAGAAAGCAGTATGTTCTTAGTTTATTTCCACTATTCGTTTTGTTTTTGTTAAAATAGCACCACTCTTGTGTCAGTGCTAAGGTAAGAACTAGAATACAAAGTTTTGAAAGAGTAAATAATGAATCTGAACACCTCAAATACTAGAAAATTCACAGAAGGGACTATCAAACTTCTGCTGCAGGAAACAGAGATTCATGCCACAGTTAGGCACTTCCAGCAAACTGCTGGTGCTGGAGACACCGACTTCCTTCGTGAGCGCCTATCTCCAGGTTATCCCTGCTTCTCAAAGTGCCTGTATACCTACTCAGGAACTCTTTCCTTTTAATTTTTTAAAATCATGTAGCTAGTTATTTTTGTCATTTGGGTTGCTCAATAAGAGAAATTTCTGAGATGCTTCCTACTACATAATATGCCCAGATCTCATCACTATTGTACTTCAAACTAGAGATAAGGGTCCTCATTAATCTGGTAATGGTCATAAATCAAAATGCTCATCATTTTAGCATATACTTTCTGTATCTTCCATAACTCACTGGGATCATATTTTTATTAAAATCAAAGATTTTCAGAATGTGAACCAACGAAGTTTATGACTATCAGGTTACACACACACACACACACACACACACACACACAAAGGCGACTTTCTTGTTTGCTTGTGTGTGTGTGGTTTTTTTTTTTAACACAAAATGCAAAGGCAAATTATCCAGTAACCCATTCAGATGAATTCACCTTAAATTTTTGAAGATTTAGATTTATGATACAAAGATCCAGGGTCCAGATACTTAAATTTTACAGATTCCCCCATATGACTTTTCATCAAATAATACTATAAGGTAGTTAGAATTAGTAGCCATCTTTGAGATACTGTCACAATCCTAAGTCCATTCTCTGATAAGCGCTTCTCATTTCCTCTGCCACTGCTCCAGTGTCTTTGGAACGAAGATTAATGCCTGACATAAGTGGGCTGATTACATCTTTCCATATGAAATAAGGATTTATTATTATTATTATTCAGGAACCATTTCCAGTGGTTTTCTTGCACTGAAAGTCAACAGACTCTGGGTAAGGGGCAGGAGAAGAGCAAATGCCAGTGCACAGAGTTCACAGGGAGCTGGCCTGGGGAGAAGAGGCCAAGTGTAAATGAGCACCTTTCAATGGCATTCGTATCCTAAAAGTAAATAATCCACCACTGGATGGTTAGCAGTATAGAAACCATTTTTCCAGGTGACAGGAGGAGTGTGGAAAGGACCAAGGAACTTAAGAACATAGGAATATGGAAATAAAGAGAACCTAAGGGTGGGCTTGAAAGTACAAGAGACCTGGGATGGAGAATTTGTATTATTTTCCATAATCTGGTCATAGTGGCCCAATAGGTGGCAGTCTTTCATTCCTTGGAAGTGAGCATTTTCAACAAAGATTTTATGTTGAAAGAGATGTTTCCTTTCTTTTAAGCTAGAAAAGCATGGCTAATGGTGGAAAACCTCAGGTTTAAGAGTAAATTTTTTTTCTTTTCTTTCTAAGTTTCGGATTCAGGACTTGTGGTTTATTTCAAGTGACTGCTTGAACTGAAGACCTGCAAGTTGTGTGTCAGGGCCACAGGAGGACAGAAACAGCCAGTGTACAGAAGGCACAGTAAGCAGACATGCAGACAGAAGGGCAGGCAGATGATGTTGAGAGGCAGGTAGTTCATTTCCTTCCCTAACTCCTCCCACTTTTTAGTTCCAATCCTATCATAGACATATGCAGATTTCTGTACCCAGATATCCCAATTCCAAACCCACCTGCCCTCAAGTTAGTTCTGGCTCATAGTGACTCTAGATGACAGGGTTGAGCTTCCCCAAAGGGCTTCCAAGGTTGGAATTTTTCATGGAAGCAAATTGCTATATCCTTCTCTCATCAAGCAGTTAGTGAATACGAACCATCAATCTTTCAGTAAACAGATTCACGCTTAGTGCATTGTGGCACCAGGCACCTATACAGGAAGCCCCAATATCCTTATAATAAACAAGTGCCCATATTTCATTTCATTTGTGTAGTTATTAATACTATGCAATTAGAGAAGTAACGAAAATGGCTATTATTATGGGCCATCAGGTCACCTTCAACTCATAGTGACCCACTGTACAATAGCTCTGAGCTCTGCCCTATTCTGAGCCAATCTCACTATCTCTGACACACTGACTGTGTCAATCCAACTCATTCAGGGTCTTCTTCTCCTCTGCTGTCTCTCTACCCTTCCAAGCATGATGTTCTTCTCCAAGGACTAGACCCTTCTGGCAACATGCTCAAATTATGTGAAATGGAGATTTAAAATCCTTGTCTCTGGGGAGCTCTGGTGGCCTAGTGGCAAGAAGCTGCACTGCAATCCCAGAGGCACTCAGTTAAAAACTACCAGATGCTCTGCTGGAGAAGGAGGTATATTCTCCTTCTGAACCAGTCAGATCCAATTTGATGGTACACAAAAAAACAATAAATTTTTTAAAAAAAATCCTTTTATCTAAGGAGCAACTTGGTTTCACCATTTCCAGGACAGATCTGTTTGTTCTCTTGACAGTCCATGGTATATTCAATACTCTTCTCTAGTACCACAATAGATGACAAATTAAATGCACTATGCCATGCATTTAAAAATAAGATAATATGCATTTAAAAATTGCTGTTGAATTGATCTCAACTCATAGTGACATCAGGTAGGACAGAATAGGACTGTGCTCCAAAGAGTTTGAAATGGCTAGTTTTCAGAAGTTGATTGGCAGAACTTTTCTCATGTTTTTGGGTGAACTTGAACCTCCAGCCTTTTGGCTAGTATGTGAGTTTATAAACCATTTAATCAAGGACTTAAAAATCTGCTGCTAGCCACAAAGTAGCAATCACTTTAAAGTACTATGGCTATCATTTCAAAAATATAAAATTACTGTTACAAAATAACATGGTTACCTATATCAAGGGTAGACAAGCAATGTCAGTGAAAAGTAGCAAGGGAAAAAAAATAGCACAATAGAAAATTTCTCTTTTTGAGAAATGTACGAATCTAAACAGGAATCTTAAACCAAACAATAACACCTCAACTACAGAAAAAAATGCATGCAAAACATTATAATAAATATTTATAGGTCTTAAATTATTAGAAATATGAATCCTTAAAAAAAGCCAGCTGTTAAAAACATACACACCAATGAAGAAGCTTATTTTTTGCTTTTCAAAGAGAGGAGCGAACTGGGGGGAAGGGGGTAAAGAAAAAAGTGCAACAATGAATGAATGAAAATCCAAAAACCTCTGTAAATGTTCATTAAAATTAATAAAATAAAATTTAAAAAAATACACACCTATGTGTATATAGGTGGCCTAGTGGTAAAGAGTTGTGCTGCCAACCCAAAGGCAAGAGGTTTGGATCTACCAGCAGCTGTGGTGCAATCTATTACCTGTGTAAATCCACTAGAGGGTCAGCTATGAGACAGTTCTGCCTCAATGGTACATAAAAACTACACACACACACACACACACACACACACCCCTTTTTATATAATGAGGCCATGATACAAAGAAACATAATATAAATAGAAATAGAAATATATTATAAATATAAATAAATATATATATATATATATATATATTAGCATACATGTTGCTTGAAAATCAGGTTAAACAGTCAAATCTATTATCTAGACAATGTCAGAATTTGCTTAGTAATAGTAAATATTTTGGTCCAATAAATTATTATATGCCAAGTTAAAAAAAGGTATATTATAGTTCATAATAAGTATTACTCTTAATTGAAAGTCACAAAATGTTAATAGATAGAATTGAATTAGGCATAATATAAGCTTAAGGATTTAGTATATGTATTCAGTGCACACAATCTATTACCTTGTAAAATTTTCTGTAGTAATTTCTTTTTTTTATATCTCAAAGAATCAACAATTAAAACAAAAAATCAATAGTATATTTTAACATTACATTAAATAAAAGGAAGATTTAAATTTATGTCAGAGCACCTATTAGTATGACATCTATTCCCCTCGCTGACCAAAATTGGCAGTTTTCTCATCATGAGCTAAAAACTGGGACGGTCAGAATAGGTCCTAAAGAACTGAGTGCTGCTTTTGCCTTCAAGTTGATTTTGATTCAGTAATTCTGAGTAAGAGAGAATGACACAATTTTACAGCATGCTCTCATTGCTAATAAATACTCTTACCTGGGCTAGCTTCCGCTTTTCAATGTTCCCTCCTGTTTCAGGGTGTAATGTATAAACTGGAGTATATTGTACGGAACCCGAACATGCCCCAAAATCTTCCTCATTTTCCTACACACAAAGAAATACACAAGTAATTACTTTAAAATATTCTTTTTGTCACAATTTTAGTTGTTTGACCAATAAGAAAAGCATCTGAAACAGATGCAAGCAAAATAACAATCATAAGTTCAAAGAGCTTATTTTGCAGCAAATACATTTTTATATAATATGAATTAATAATTTCCAAAGTAAGTTATGACTATTTTCAATAATTTGAGCAGAATTTATATGAAAATATTGTGCTTTCTATCATTACACTGGAAGTATCAGTTCATCCTTTCTCTCCAAAGACAGAGATACAACAGAGCAATGCTACTGTCTCCAGAACTGTAATATGCAATCAAAGCTAGCACACATACATACTCATACATAAATATTAATCTACATATAATAATCACAGGTTCAAACACAAGTATGCTAATTCATGTTCTTGAAAATTAAAAGCATGCTTAATTTGAAAGTAAGTACTATCAGGAAAAATCCTACAAAATGAAATTATGTAATTTCTTACTCTATATTAAATTATCTTAAAAAAAAATCTCAGCTTGAAGCAAGAGCTTCAATTGTGATATCAAGGCAATCAACTTTATGAAAACATACATCCTGTTAAAGTGTCTTTGAAGATTTCTGTAGTTCCATGATAAAATATGCAAACAATAAAGAGATTATTCAGTGGATGCATATAGAATGGCAGATAGTTGCCAGAGGGCTTGTTATGAAAAATACATTCTTGAACAAAGGGCTAAGCATATTTCAAAAGTCATTAAAAACATAAATCTCATGTGATTTGTAAAGTATGAGCTTCACACTAACGCAAGAATAAAGAGAGAATGAAAAGAATATGACGTACCTTGTGTTTTAGCTTACTCTTAACTTCCTTTATTCCCTGCTTTGCATGATTTTTTGCCTAGAAAATGATAATACAAGTGTATGGCTCAGCATGGTACTACTACTATTTAAAGAAAAAGCACATGAGCTCACAGTTCATGAATATTAGTAACTATTCATATAACTTAAGAAAAAATCAAATTATCATTTATTTTATAGGATGCTGAACCTGTGCCAAATGTGGGGTATCAAATACCATAATGGTTTATCAATGTGGACAGTGTTTGGTGGAGCTCCCAGTTGTAGGACAGGTTTGGAAGCAGGAGTAGCATCCACTTCCTAAACCACATGCCTGTGAAAAGTCTATGAACTTGGAGAAACTTATAGAAAGGCATTAGGTCTTTTGTTCATGGAGCTGCTATGAGTCATGCTTGACTCGACACAATCAACAATACAACAAAATACCACTTACTATTATGCCAACATTTGTTGTTGTTGTTATATGCCATTGAGTCGTTTGCGACTCATAACGCCCCTACGTACAAGAGCTCTAAATGCCATTCTATCCTGTGCCAACCTCGCTGTCTCAAACACATTCATTCCTACCACTCCACTCACAGAATCGATCCATCTCTTTGAGGGTCTTCCTTTCCTGCGCTGTCCCTCCAC